TCCCATTTACAATTGCACCCAAAGCAATAATACACCTAGGCATAAATCTAACCAAAGAGGTGAAAGATCTGTAGTCTGAAAACTATGAGACACTGATGAAAGAAGTTGAAGAGGACACAAAGAAATGGAAAAATATTCCACGCTCATGGATTGGAAGAACAAATATTGTTAAAATGTCTATACTACCCAAGGCAATCTACACATTTAATGTAATCCCTATCAAAATGCCACTAGCATTTTTTACAGAGCTAGAACAACAATCCTAAAATTTGTATAGAACCACAAAACACCCTGAACAGCCAAAGCAACCTTGAAGAAGAAAAGCAAACCTAGAGGCATTACAATTCTGGACTTCAAGTTATATTACAAAGCGGTAGTCTTCAAAACATTATGGTACTGGCACAAAAACAGACACATAGATCAATGGAACAGAACAGAAAACCCAGAAATGAACCCACAACTCTATGGTCAACTAATCTTTGACAAAGCAGGAAAGAATATCCAGTGGGAAAAGGACAGTCTCTTCAACAAATGGTGTTGGGAAAACTGGACAGCAACATGCAGAAGAATGAAACTGGACCACTGTCTTACACCATACACAAAAATAAATTCAGAATGGATGAAAGACCTAAATGTGAGACAGGAAACCATCAAAACCCTAGAGGAGAGCACAGGCAGTAACCTCTTTGACATCAGCCGTAGCAACTTATTTCTAGATATGTCTCCTGAGGCAAGGGAAATGAAAGCAAAAATTAACTATTTGGACTTCATCAAAATAAAAAGCTTCTGCACAGTGAAGGAAACAGTCAACAAAACTAAAAGGCAACCTATGGAATGGGAGAAGATATTTGCAAATGACTTATCTGATAAAGGTTTAGTATCCAAAATATAAAAAGACCTTATAAAACTCAACACCCCAAAACTGAATAATCCAATTAAAAATGGGCAGAAAACATGAATAGACATTTTTCCAAAGAAGATATACAGATGGCTAACAGACACATGAAAAGATGCCCAACATCACTCATCATCAGGGAAATACAAATCAAAACTATAATGAGATATCGCCTCACACCTGTCAGAATGGCTAAAATCAACAGTACAGGAAACAGCAGGTATTGGCGAGGATGTGGAGAAAGTGAAACCCTCTTGCACTGATGGTTGGAATGCAAACTGCTACAGCCACTGTGGAAAACAATATGGAAGTTCCTCAGAAAGTTAAAAATAGAACTAACTACCCTATGATGCAGCAATTGCACTACTAGGTATTTACCCAAAGAATACTAATTCAAAGGGATACATACAAACCTATGTTTATGGCAGCATTATCTACAATAGCTAAATTATGGAAACAACCCAATGTCCGTTGATTGATGAATGGATAAAGAAGAAGTGATTATATATATATATAGACACACACACACATGTACACACACACCATGGAATATTAGCCATCAAAAAGAATGAAATCTTGCCATTTGCAATGATATGGGTAGAACTAGAGAATATTATGTTAAGTGAAATAAGTCAGTGAGAGAAAGACAAATACCATATGATTTCACTCATATGTGGAATTTAAGAAATGAAACAAATGAAGAAAGGGGGAAAAAAGGAGTGAGGCAAACCAGGAAACTCTTAACTATGGAGAACAATCTGAGGGTTGCTGGAGGGAAGGTGGGGGGGTGGGTTAAATAAGTGATGGGGATTAAGGAGTGCACTTGCTGATGAGATGAGCATGGGGTGTTGTATGCAAGTGTTGAATCATTATACTGTATGCCTGAAAATGATACATAGTGTATGGTAACTAACTAGAATTTAAATAAAAACTTAAAAAAATAAAGTCTGAGTTATTTCCAATTATTTTTCAAGAAGGTCTGCCTTAGAATTGTTTCTCTCAAAAGTATAGACATGGACCTTGAAGCTCCTATAATATTTCCCATCTCTCGGCACCCACATGCATGTGTATGTATATACAATTTTTTTAAAGGGCCCAAAACATGCTGAAAGTTTATTTTAAGAGTTTTTATAATGGCTTCGAACTAATAACATACTGAAAATATGACTTTCTTAACAGAAAAAAGATCTAGATTTTTTTAATGAGACTAACTTTTTTACACATTGGTCACATATGTTTTTACTAAACAGCAGAATTTCTCACTACATCCATGGTTCAGTATAAAAAAATCCCATTGTCAATTAAGATTTCAAAAAAAATTATCTCAGCAAGAGGATTAAATTCTAGTCTAGATTCATTTATCTTCCTACTTTACAAACTCTAGGTAAAGGAATCTAACAAGTTGCCAAAGAACACAATCCCGAGCCTTAATCACAAAAGTTGATGAAGCACCTTTTATAAGACCCCTCCACCCTGCAACAAGTGCGTGTCCAGAGGAATGTTAATACCATACTACTAAAGGTACATCATTCTAGAACATTTTAAGCTGTATTACAGTGCTATAATTTCTCCTCTTAAGGAAAAATAGATTGAGTTTCCCTGCAGTGTTCTGAAAGGAAATAAGGTCGTTTTTAAAAAATATATCCATAATAACTAGTGGTTTGCTTATTTTTTTCCTGTATTTTTAAATTCCAACAAAGCATTAATTTGCAAAAGGTCCTTCAGTTCAAATTCAGTGTCTCTGTTTTGATCTCTTTGTAAAAGAACTCTCTGTTCATCCATTCTTTCTGCCTGAGAATGTAAAATCAAGCTAAAAAAGTCCTCATCTGGTACTGTTGGTCCCTTTGTGGCAGCAGGTGGTGGAGCACATCTTTGGTCATCTAATCTGGACCCTTGACATTTTACAAGGATGCCAAAGAAGTCTTCATCAGGCTCTTTGTTGTCATTAGTCATCAGGTGGCCAAGGGCAGACTTGTTGTTTTGTGTCAGACGAAGCCCTGGCAAATTACTGAAACTGGCCCTCTGGTCATCAAGACGGCGGCTCTGTGAGCTGGCAAGAAGGTCTAAAAACTCATCCATGTTGGGGGATACCATGGAAACAGATGATGTTTTTAGCATCACTCTAGGGGGAGTGGAAGAAGCTGCAGTTGAAGCTGGCCCACAGCTCTGTCCTTGTAAGCAGCACCTCTGATCATCCATCCGATTGCTCTGAAATCGGCTTACCAGGTCAAAGAACCCTTCATCTCCAATAGTATCTGTACTGACTTTTCTCTGAGAATTTGGAATTCGGTGATCAATGGAATTACTGGCATCTTGGAGAACTTTAGTGGAGGAATTAGTTTTGCATTTTTTCCCCTTCAATCTTTTGACAAAGAGCAGCTTCGCAGAAGGTTTGGCAATAAGAGGCTTTTGTTTAGCAAGAATTTCACTGTTCTAGTTCTGTACCTTTTCTGGTGTTAACTTCATAAGTTCCATGTTTTCCATACTGTGTCGGCGTCCGAACTTGAGGCATGCACCATGCAAACTGTTATCAATTTCAATATTTTCAGACATTATTGAATTATTTGTCCTGTAGCTCAGACCAAGAACCATTTGAAGATCTGAGAGATTTAGTTGTGCTTTTAGTTCACCACTTCTATCCCCAGCCTCTCTTGAAATTTCCAAGTGCTTTTCAGCAAAATGCATTGCTTGGTCATGATTCCCTAGAGCGGTGTATGCATTTCCTAAGCTCCAACGTGCTCTTCCTTCACCAATTCTATCATTTAGCTCTTGAGCAATTGCCAAGTGCTTCAGATGATAATCAATGGCCTTTTCGTAGTCCTGAAGCAAAGTATATGTGTTTCCAAGACTATAACAAGACTGTGCTTCAACAGCTCTGTCTTTAAGCTGTCGAGCCAATAGTAGTCTTTTTGTAGTATTCAGAGGCAGTTTCAAATTCACCAAGAAATATATATGCATTTCCAAGGTTGCTATATGCTCTTCTTTCAGCTGCTTTATCTCCAGATTCTTTTGCAATAAGGAGACACTGCTCATGAGCTATAACCGCATCCCTGAAGTTGCCCAGGAGGTAATGTGTATTTCCAAGATTTCCAAAGGCACGTCCTTGGGCTGCTCGATCACCCAAAGCAGTCACTAGTGATAGGTTTTCCTCATAATAATCCACAGCTGCCTGAAGGGCATTTCTCACTTCTTCTGGAAATTCTCCTATGTCCTGAGGACCAGGGCAGACAAAACTTTTCCCTTTGGCATGATACACATTTCCAAGATTGTAAAGTGCTCTTGCTTCTTCCACCTTGTCATTAAGCTCTCTAGAAATATCTAGGTGTCGCTGACAACAAACTACAGCTTCATCAAAATTCCCAAGAACTTTTACAGTGTTTCCCAGATTACCACTAGCTTTGGTTTCCCCCAGCTGGTCTCCAATAGTCCTTGCAAGAGTTAAATCATGATGATGATATTCTAATGCTTTGGCATAATCATGCAAATAGAAATAAGCATCGCCCAGCTGGCTGTAAATAGCACTAAGTGTTTTTAGGTCTTCAGTTCCAACTTGAACTGCAGCTTCAAAAAAGGACACACCAGCACGGCAGTCTCCTGATTTACACAGACGTTCCCCTTCCAAGGCCAGTTCTAGGCAAGAAGCTTCCATTCTGTAACGAACATGAAAAGAATAGTCTTCCCTCATGCTTATCAAATTTTCCTCCATCGAGTCATATTATAAGCTGAGTAAAATATGAAATTATTTTATTTAGTGCCAATCCAGTTCTTTACAATGTAGAATTGTTGTAGAACATTGTCTGGTTAGTATATTAATGAGTTGGTGTTAATACATCCTAAGCTCCTGCTTCTTCTTTATTAATAATGAAAGGAGGTCAGTGTCAGACAGCTTAAAGGTTCAAAATGTGTCCCAAATCCTTGCATCTCTGGCCCTTTCAGCAGCACTTCAGCAACATTTCTCTGGCAGGCCGGCGAGTCCCGGGAGTGCGGTGGCCATGACGGAGCTGCAGCAGCGGCCGCCTCCTGTATATACAATTTTAAAATGGTACAGCTTCTACAACATATAAGTAATGGAAGGATTTGTGTTTAACTTTGTTTATATGTACAGGAAGCAGTGAAAGAAAACAACAAGAGAAAAGAAATGGAAGAGAAGACTAAGAGGGCAAAGCTTGCAAAAGAGAAAGCTGAACAAGAAAAGTTAGAACGCCAGAAGAAAAAGAAACAACTCATTGATATAAACAAAGGTATGAAGTACTTTCAATTTCTTAAAGATATATAAAGTACAAAATAATTTAACTTAATTGATTTTGGATTATAATGTAAATGTGTTCTTGGTAGAAAACTCACAATATTATTAGTTATTTGTGTCATATTTCTCTCATAATATTATCTCTATTTCTTATCACCCTACACTGAGCACTCAGGATTTTTGAGAACCAGTGCAGGGTAATATATTGTTGAAATGGTCTCTTTCCCTTCATTTATTTTATCAAATTATATCATATTATGTTCTGGGTGATGCAGTGGTGAGGAAAGAAGAGGGTGAGATGAAAAGAGAAAAACTGGTAAGGGGAGATGAGCCCTCTGGCTCTAATTTCATTTTGTTGACACATGTCTGTTGACAATGCAGTAATAACAGTTTTCCTTGGGGCCTTGAACATTTCAAGTCATAATAGATATTGACAGCACTATTATAAGATGAAAAAAAAATAGAGACATCTTATTCAACTGTGAGCCTAAGAACAAAGATGCTGTATGTTCACATAGTATAAAGTAAGTTTTTTCTTGGTTAACAAGAGTGATTGTATCTTAAAGGTGAGTGTTTTGGTTTTATTTTGTTTTCTTTTTAAAGAAGAGAAAGGTAAATAAAGTGATTGGCACCAGGTAGCTGCACTCTGAAAATTTAAGAAAAATTAAGAAAAAGTATAGCCTTTGCCACTGAGGGGTATAGAATTTAAAAACGAAACAAAATCTGTAGATACAAGAAATACAAGTTACAAGAGAACATGATTAATATGGGTCATCTATTTCTTAATATAATTACAGTAAAAATTGTAAGCCCTGGGTAATGTTGACCATGTGCCAAGCACTGTTCTAAGACCTTGACATGTTTTAAGTCAATTAATCCTCCTAACATAAGAAGTAGATACTGTTATTACCTCATACAGGTGAGGAGAACCTCAAATTAAAGAACATGCTGAAGATCACACAAATACGAAGTACAACATCAAGATTAGAACCAAAGTAGTCTGGCTAGAGAATCTTTGCACTTATAAATGCTGTTGTCAAGTAATAATAACTAACAGCAGTTACTAATGTGTAGCACTTACTGTGTACCAGGAACTGTTATAGGAGTTTGACATATATAAACACATTTAATCCTCATAAAACCCTATTAGGAAAGGGCTACTATCTCATTTTAAGATGAGGAAACTGAGGCACAGAGAAGTTAAGTAACTTACTCAACTTCATAAAAGACAGTAAGAGGTAGAATCTAGGCAGTCTGTGGCCAGATTTAATTATTAATTATTTATTTTGATTATAACTTTTAATTATAATTATTAACCATTATCAATTATTCTGTAGTAATGTCTCTTAATAGCTAACTTTCTGAAATGATATCTGTACCATTAAGTTCATTCTTTATACCTTTAAAATATATAAAAATTTTTAGGAATCCACTATAGTTTATCTTTTCTACCCAGGAAATAAAAATAATATCATTCTAAAAGAAGAAAATAAGTTAACAACTAAGGCTAAAAAGAGTAGCACCAACATAATTTAGCAAACAGACTTCATAATTAGGATCAAAAGAATTGGTCCTGACTGAAGATACTCAATTAGGAAAATCACTGGAGTTTGCATGGCAGTGGGTATTTGTAGGAAGTTCTTACTTAAAAGGTGATGGAGTCAGTAGAATAGTACTAGAAGTTACTCCCTTTTGTGCATGGACCATTAGTGAGATAAGAGCATGGGAGAAGTAGGGGACAGATTGTGCATTCTCGGGCTAAGGGCTTTACCCTGAAAGCTGTGGGAAGCCCATGAGTATTTATAAATGGGAAATTGATGTGCTCACATAGATTTCTTAGAAAGATCATTTTGACAGAAGCATAGAGAATGGATCGGAAAGAGAAGAGCCTGTGACCACAGAAGTTATAAAGTTATTATCATAGTCCTGACAAGAGATGATGGTGGCTTGAATTAATGCAGTGGTAGTGAGGTTAGAGAAGTTACCAATAAGAGGTATATATGAGTTCTATAGGATGTGGATATATAGAGACAGATATATTTAAAGGAATTGACTCGTGATTATGGAAGCTGGAAAATCCAAAACCTGCAGAGTAGGGTGTCAGGATGGACCCAGGGAAGGGCCAGTCTGAAGATAGTTGGCTTGCAGAATTCCTTCTCACTCAGGGGAGGTCAGCCTTTTTATCTATGCATGCCTTCAACTGATTGGATGAGGCCCACCCACATCGTGGAGAGCAATCTGCTTTACTCAAAATCCACTGATTTGTTTTTTTATTCTAGTTTTTATTTCTTTTTTTTAGTTTTATTTTATTATGTTATATTAATCACTGACTTAAATGTTAATCTCATCCAAAAACACCCTCACAGAAACATCCAGAATAATGTTTGAATAATTATGTAGGCACTGTGGCCCAGCGAAGTTGACACATAAAATTAACCATTACCAGAGGGGTATTAAATGGTAGAACTGACTGACCCTGATGATTGAATAGATGTGGGAATTGAGGAAAGGAGGCATTAAAGAAGGTGATACCCTTCATAAAGAAAAAAATTCAGGAATAGAGCAGATTCCATCAGGAAGGTTACAATGATTAGTGTCATTTTGAACATGTTTCATTTTCAGACCTTTTGGAAAGATGGGAAATGTCTAAGTAGCCATTGTATATCATTTGCATATGAAACTCAGGAAAGAGGTTTGGACTAGACAGACAGACTTGAGAATCATTGGTTTTTGATGATTAAAGTTAGGGTATATTAATTTGCTAGGGCTTCTGTAACAAAGTACCACAAACTAGGTAGCTTAGAATAATAGAAATTTATTGTTTCATAGTTCTAGAGAAGAGAAGTCTGCAATCAAGATGTAGGAAGGGCCACGCTTTTTCTGATGATGCTAGGGAAGGATTTGTTCCAGCCTCTCTCCTACCTTCTGGTAGTTCCTTGGTTTATAGCAGCAAAACTTCAGTCTTCACGTGCCATTATCCCTGTGTGCATGTCTGTCTCTTCACATGGTATTCTTTTCATTAGCACACCAGTCATATTGGATTAGGGGTCCAACCTACTCCAGTATGACCTCACCCTAATTAGACAATTCAACCTATAACATATGAGTTTGAATGAGATCACCAGGGTAAAGTTCAGGTTCTGAGGTTCTGAAAGTATTTAGTCTCAGAACCCATTTACACTTTTAAAAATTATTGTGGACCCCAAATACCTTTTGCTTATTTGGGTAATATATATTGACATTTATCATGCTGGAATTAAAACAGACATAATAAAATTATATAAGATAAATCATTTGAAAACTTTTCATTTACTAGTTCTATTAAAATAACAAAGTAAACCTACTACATGCTAAAAACATCTTTTTATGAAAAGTAGCTTTATATTCTAACCTCCTGCCCCCCAAAAATATTAGTAAGAAGAGAAAGCTATAGTGTTGTAAATTTCTTCAGAGTCTGGCTTGATAAAAGCTTGATTCTCATACTGTTTTTATATTCAATCTAATGCAGTATCATTTGTCATGTGGCTTCTGGAAAACACCATAAACTCATGAAAGAATGAGAGAGAAAAAGGCAAAAAAGTATGACTATTCTTATGAAGATAGTTTTTACCTTGCATATCTGAAGTGATCTCAGAGACTCCCACAAGTCCCAAGGCCACACTTTGAAAATCTCTGGAGTAAATAATGAAAAGAGCAAGCAATTAAGAAAGAGTCTAATGAGTTTTATGGCAAGAACATAATCTTGCCCCCATACTGCATTGCACCCTTCCCTCTCCCCAAGTATTTACTCAACCTTTCACTATTTCCCTAAAAATATACCTGTAATAGAAAGAAAAAAGAAAGAAAGAACCTATTTTGATTATGTCTCTGGTATATATTTTCATTTCCCAAGATTTGATCAATTATCCCTTCAAATATTATTAAAGCGATAGTATGAAGATCTAAATAAGCTTTTATGCAAATGCTTAGCTGAGTGATCTGAATATGAAAGACACACTTTAACATAGGATTTATCTTTTGTGTATTGTTAACGATATCTCTAACTTAGAGATCAAAGAGTAAACTTTACCATTAGGTTCTTGATTTGTGGCCCATATGTTGCAAATACCTTGTTACTATTATTATTATTATTGTAATATTATTTTACATTTAAAAGTACTTATAAATATGTTTCAAAAAGAGATTCTTCCATTGGAATCGTGTAGCCTTAAGAGGATGAGAAGAAAGAATAAGAACAGAGTTGGGTAGTTAGGGGTCAAGATGGAACTCAGTGAGTTTCTCAGACAGTATCTTATAAAAAATGCTATTGTTAACTAGGTGGAAATCAATTGCAGACACTTTGAGGGCCTTGGGGAAAGTGTGGTCCGGCTACATAAAATATGAATCCACAGGTGACATGAGAATGAGGTGCAGTCAGAAAGTGATTTAGAGAACTTTAAATGTGTCTAACTTGAATAGTATCATCCATTTTCCAGTAAAAGAATTGTAATCTTCCTTTCCCCTGAGCGATGATGTCGAACATTTGATTGCCATTTTAAGATATGTATTATATAGAGCATAGAGGTATTTCGTGCACATGTGATTAGAGATACATACCATTAGAACCGGAGGGCCCTACCCATAACAATAGTAGTGAAGCAGAGTCCCTTGGGTAAAGAAAGTCACTTGAAAATTACCAACAACTTTAAAAACACATACTCTTTCTGTAGTTTCTATTTCATACCAACTTAGCAAAATTGCAAGCCTCTCCCTTTTAGAAAATAACCCATGATCCCATATAGCTAATAAGTAATAATAGTAAGTTATATTTATCTGACATGCAAAATTATATATATTCATCAAAAAGAAATATTTTAGAATTTAATTCAGAAGAATAAGAGGATAAAGCAAACACAACAGATTATTTATGTTATCTAGATGTGATCAGCTGAACTCAGAATTAAGAGGACATATCATGGAAACCAAGCAGCTAGAGAATTATATCTTTCATGTTAA